GAGTACAAATGGGGCAGCTTTGCATTGTCGCACAGCGCGCGCCGGCGCATGTCAATGCACCGCAGCGCGTCACAATGCACTAAGGTTTAATAAGTGATAAAAAGGAAACAGTGCAACGCGTTGTAACAATATCACACCACACCCCCCCGAACGACACAAACCAGCACGTGCGTCATACGAAGTATAAACCGCGCGGGCTGCTGCGAATGGGCCCCTCGATTTACCGACCTGGCTGACCCGATGGAACTAGAACGGATCGTTTGGGGCAGCCCTCGCCCAGCACATTGTATGCAAATTGTACAATCACATTGCGATACGTAAAGGTGGCCATACACCTCCCGATTATCGTACGATGGTTGTGGGTGATCCTGCGATCGCACGATAATCGGCAGGTGTATGGGCAGCGTGCGACCGCTTCTACTGTACGGTCGCACGACTTTCGTCTTCCTACCACGCTGGAAAATCTGCCGAAAATCATACGACTGTCGGCGGGCTGGTAGCGCGCTCGGAAGACGAAAGCCGCACTGGCCGGTGCGTGCACCTTACAATACGCATGGAATGGTGGGCGGAGCCGGCAACATAGAGTGCATTGACCTCATGAAAGTCGATGACGGGCCGGTGTCAGCTCACTTCCCTAATGCACCCAGCAGGAAGACAATATATCAATATATTGTATTTGCATTGGGCTCGGTATGCACTCCCCCCCCTCCCCGACCTGCACGTGACGCTGCTCGGGTAATAGATCATGTGTGAGGTTTAGTCTGACTGGATGAGGTTTAGTTTGCTGAAGCCCTGTGTATCCTATATGATTGGCAAGCCCCCCTCCCCCCAAAAATAAATTTTACATTCTGTTTTGCATCTCATGTCTGCTGATCTCTTGCAGCCTCTTTCAGCCACTTGCTGTCTGCATGCCCTCGCTCCAGCGTCGGCTGCACACCATCGCTCTGGACCTGGCTTAGTCCCCTACAACGGGAGCATGTGAGGGGGGTGACAACTCAGGAGGACGATTGGGAGACAGTTGTCACCCCATAACAGGAAGTGCTCGAGCAAGTACCTCCATGGCAGGATCACCGGGGATTGTTTTAATAAAAATGTCAGATTTAAAAATCGACTTTTGAAACGACATTAACATGTTAAAGCGCAAAGGAGATTTTAGTGATTTACGTCAACTTTAAAGGAGAACTATGGGGTCAGGGCTTCTCCCCATAGTTCTCCTAAGGCCCCATTCACACTGAGCGATTCGCAAATCGCACGTTTGTCGCGCGATTTGCATTTTGCGCGTTTGTCGCGCAAATGGTTGCATTGAGCAACCTAGAATTGCGGCAAAATCCGCTCCAAAAAGGGTCCTGCTGTAGCGACGCACGACCCGCGACGGACAGAGCCCCATTGACATGCATTGGAGAGCGATATTGCGCGGTAAATCGCTCAGTGTGAATGGGGCCTAAGGGTTCGGCTAGAACTATGAGGTGAGTGAAAAGCCCCCCCCCCCCTCATAGTTCTCATTTAACCCCTGAACGATGTCAGGTAAAACGAGTCTAAACGCCTGAATTGCGCGCTGATCTGCGGCGCAGAACGCGCGGGCCGGGAGGTGCACTGGGGGTGACAATAATCAGAACACACAAAAAAACAACAAAACCAACTGCTGCGTTGTATGCAAATCGGGGCGATGGGCTCGGCTGCAGCTGAAACGCTCGGCCCGTCTCTACCGAGGAACTTGAAAAACAAAACCAAAACGAGGTCATTGCTCAAGCGGTTTATTGAGGAAAAGGATGACGGCGAACTGAAATTGTTGATGGATGCCGCAACGCTTGATTGTGAAGGCCGTGCAGGGGCCCCCGTCTCACTTCCTCTTTCTTATAACCATGAAGAAGGCGCTCGCTTTTCTCAATAAGTCTGACACAACTAGGAAAGGGGCCGGGCCGCCGCCGCTGCGTCAGACGCGACTTAGTCAGATTTAGACAGAAAGGCCTCGCCAGTTCCCCTAACTGAGTCGGGTGATTTTACTAAGAGAGTCCCGAAGGAATTTCCCTGCAATGCTCCGGGCCGGCCTTGGCGGATGATACTCACCGGGGCCCGTTCTTCTCTTCTTACGTTCAGAAAACGAAAGTG